ACAACGCCTGGCTATTTTTTGGTTGCAGCCGTTATTGTTGTTTGGTGGGCCTGGGCTGGATTTGAACCCGCCACCTTAGGTGTATGTGGCTGGTGCCTTAGCCGGTTGAGCTACAGGTGGCAGGCCTTAAATCATTTCTCTTGGGCAGCTCCTGTGGCTCAGTGGGTAGGGTGCCGGCCCATATATGAGGGTGGCAGGTTCGAACCTGGCCCTGGTCAAACTGCAACAACAACAAAAAATAGCCAGGCATTGTGGCAGGTGCCTGTAGTCCCAGCTGCTAGGGAGGCTGAGGCAAGAGAATTGCCTAAGCCCAAGAGCTGGAGGTTGCTGTGAGTTGTGATGCCACAGCACTCTACCGAGGGTGACAAAATGAGACTCTGCCTCAAAAAAAAAAAAAAAAAATCATTTCTCTCTCAGATTTCTCTTTCCACTAAAGACAAATTACAGCAGAACCAACCCAGTTCCCAAAGTAAACTGCACCTTCAGTATATTGGGTTTGATTATTTGCATAAAGTGCAGCAAGTATAATTATTGGCCATCAAGGCTCCTCTTCCTTTAAAGTTAGCTTTGCTGGAACCTTTTATAAGGAGTTTCAGGTTAAGACTTGAAAGCTTTTGAGAGCCCAGGTTTCATCTGTGCCATTAGATACCTGCATGCATTGGGTAAATTCCTCTTCTCTTGAGGTCTCCAAGCCCATTTTGGTTCCCAGACCCATCAGCAAGTGACCTTCGTTAGTTGCCACAGATCAGGAAACGTTACTGATGGGTATCTGGCCAGTTTTACAAAGGGATTTTTTATTGGCCTTATAAAGTCAACCTTTATTCCTTAACACACTTTGGACACCTCTGGAAATGCTAATCTAGCCAAAGCCTTGGTAAAATAACAAGTGCCTTTATTATGTCATGTAGAACAAAACAAATTCTTTTTCTTTTTCTTTTATTTGCAGTTTTTGGCCAGGGCTGGGTTTGAACCCACCACCTCTTGCATATGGGGCCGGCACCCTACTCCTTTGAGCCACAGGTACTGCCCACAAAACAGATTCTTATTGAACTTATGCAAATAACTGTATTGCCAGAAATTAAGAATACTTACAAATGGCTTTCAAATTCTGGAGAAATCAAGGGCAGAAAAAATATGTTTCAAATTCTGCTCACAAGTACATGCTTAAAAAGCTACAAATAGCTCAAAAGACAGAAAATGGTTTTTTTGACTTCTGGAAAACAGAACACAGACAGAATCAACAATATTTCGAACAAAATGTCATAACAAACTAGCCCAGTTCTACGTAACTAATTTCTGTTCTGTTAGAGGTTAGGTTAGCAATATTCATAGACATGTTAACTTTTCAGTCAAAGTTCTAAAAGTCTGCTTTTAATCCGAAGGTACTCAGTTTTCAAAGACATCAGGAATTTGAATTTGAGAGAATTTGTCAGCTTCTCTCAATATTTCTTTTTCTTTTTAGGATAAACTTTGGACTCAGCCAGTTACAAAAAAATACTTCCTTTTTTAGATGAATTAAAATTATTACTGACAATATATGTTAGGACAGACCAATGCTTTATAATATTGGAACATATATAAAATCGATTAATCACTATTTCATATTTGACTGTTTCCTATACATTTTTAATAAATCAACTAAGTTTAATTTGTTTTCCTATGACTTTCAGTGATCTTAATATTTTAAGAAGATCATATTTAGAGTTGTCAAATTTTTTTTGGTTGTTTTTTTTACTGTTGTTGGCCCAGGCCAAGTTTGAACCCACCAGCCTCAGTGCATGTGGCCAGCATTCCAACCATTGTGCTATGGGCACCAAGCCCCAAATTTAGAGTTTTGATTTTGAAAGGTTTGTCAGATATCAAAGGCTTAAAACATTTGTTTAAACAAAATTACAAGCCAAAAGATTTTAAAGGAAATACATTGTCAACTTGATCACATGTAAATTCCTTCACAAATTTCCTTTTATGAGTTTCATATAACCTGCACAGACAATTTATAAACGTTCTAAACTTTCTTTAACTTTAGACCTGCCTTTCACTTTCTTAAACAACCATTCTGTTTCTGGACAAATCATACAAGATTCGGCTCGGTGCCTGTGGCTCAAGTGGCTAAGGCACCAGCCACATACACCTAAGGTGGCAGGTTCGAATCCAGCCCTGACCCGCCAAACAACAATGACAACTGCAACCAAAAAATAGCCGAGGGTTGTTGCAGGCACCTGTGGTCCCAGCTACTTGGGAGGCAGAGGCAGGAGACTCGCTTGAGCCCAGGAGTTTGAGGTTGCTGT